ATCAAGTACAGGCATTCAGCTGTGACCAATGCTGACTCGAGCCTTGTGAGCAGCTTGCAAGGGAAAAAAAATATGAACATAAAGTTTAGATTTAGATCTAGTACAGCTATTAAATGACTTTGGAAGTGATGACACCAAACCATTCCACAGCAAAAGGGTTGTAATGCCTCATTACAAAGACAGGAGAAAGAGCTTACAAATGCAGTCTGCGCCCCCGCCCTCCACCCAACAACCACAGATATTTTGTCAGAGGAGAAGTGGAATTTATGTTATGCTTCCAAGAAACAGAGATTCACATTCTAGCAATAACCCCCTATCGCCAACCATAGAAAGGTTTGATAGGATTTTTGAGATCTGAGAGATTATCCACTTTACAAAGCATGCTTAAAATGTCCTGACAATTAGTTCATAGTTATTTTGCAATACACTTGGGGACAGTCTTTAGTGTGTTAAAAGTGTTGGATCAATATAATAAACAAATGAATTAGTTTACAACATCTCCTTGGCATTGCGAGAACTGTAGGGCCACTATTTGCTCAAGAAAGAAAACTTTGCAAATCACTGTGATGGAAACAAATTCATCCTCTCCAAATTCACCACAAAATGACTTCAACTGATGCAGAGGTTGGTTATCAATGCATATTACCAATTTATCTGCTGCTATTTGACATTTCATATCTGAAAAAGAATGTGGTGTCTTACTTTGGGGTGTGCACAAGGCAGAAAAAGATCAGTCCTGTGTCTGTGAATTCTTAAACAATTCTAATGTTTCTTTGTGCTGCCTCCACTTCAATATATATTTCAGGTTCTGAGTCATTCTGTATAAAATGAAGCTCTGTGGGTTCCCAAGGTGGAGAAACTGCTTTTTGTCTATGTTTGGAAACCACTAGGTGCCATTTCAGATTGTGAGCTGAATCTTTAAAAACGGCAATTATTTTAACAAAATTTGGCATGAAACTAATAGGCTATATATTGGATATGGCCAGATCCTGCCAGATCCCTGGACAAGTGATACAGCTGTGGGGAGAAAATGCCTCCCTCCTTGTTATGTGAGCCCTGGATGTTTTTATTTAATTAGTTAATAAATAAACAAACTCAACATGCACACCCAAGCCCTGCTTGTCCAGTGCTCAATACATCTGGTACCCTAAAATGTACCCTTAACCTAACAATACCTCATTATACCTACAGTTTTTATTCCCCACTTCCTCACCTGCCTAGACTCAATACATTAACAGCAACAAAAAAAATATACTTAGGACTCAGCTGTACAGCTTTAAATAAAATGTTTTAAGTGAAATATACAATGTGACACTAGAAGGTGATGGTGAGCCTTATGGAAAATTCAGTGTATTTTCAGAATGGTTTTTATATGTGTGTAGATTCCACCTCAGTCCCTTTAGCAGATGACTAGCTGAAACCCACATTGCATACAGGGAGGGAGGGCACAGTTAAATGGCAAAGAGGAAGGGCTCAAGGGAGCAGCAGGCTTATAAAGCCAGGCTCCTTCTCCTTTCTGAATTGGCCTTCAGGCCCCACGTCACTCTCCTCAACTCCCTCTATTTATGTCCCAACCTCCAGAGTCCTCTTTGCAAAGGAGGGGATAAGGGCAAACCAAAGGGTAGGAATGACACATTTGATTTGCAAAAATGTATGTATATTAGGGGAAAAAGAACACTAAAATGCTGGTGAATTTTCATGAGTATTATCAAACAGATTAGGAAATGAGAAACTGAAATTGACAGATCCACCTGTCCCAGTAGTAAGAGTGCTAAATGTTTTAAAGACTGTCAGGAGGCATCTGGGCATTGAAAGCTCATAACTCAGCACGTCTCTTTCTCTCACTGAACTACTACAAGCAAATAACCCATAGTTGTCTCGGTAATAATGATTTAATAGTGCATTCATCTGGCTACACTCCTTTGCTGTTTGGTTTCTGTGTTTAACACAAGGAGTGTTGCTTTAAAGAGTTACAATATATTTGATACAGTGAACTTCCACAGTTTAATGCATGGGTAGGCAAACTAAGGCCTGGGGGCCAGATCCGGCCCAATCGCCTTCTAAATCCAGCCCGCGGACGGTCCGGGAATCAGCGTGTTTTTACATGAGTAGAATGTGCCCTTTTATATAAAATGCATCTCTGGATCATTTGTGGGGCCTGCCTGGTGTTTTACATGAGTAGAATGTGTGCTTTTATTTAAAATGCATCTCTGGTTTATTTGTGGGGCATAGGAATTCATTCATTCCCCCCCCCCAAAAAAAATAGTCCGGCCCCTCACAAGGTCTGAGGGACAGTGGACTGGCCCCCTGCTGAAAAAGTTTGCTAGCCCCTGGTATAATGAATCAGAAAAGGTTGTTTTCTGCTGCTCCAGAGAAGCGGACACAGAGCAATGGATCCAAACTACAAGAAAGAAGATTCCACCTAAACATTAGGAAGAACTTCCTGACAGTAAGAGCTGTTTGACAGTGGAATTTGCTGCCAAGGAGTGTGGTGGAGTCTCCTTCTTTGGAGGTCTTTAAGCAGAGGCTTGACAACCATATGTCAGGAGTGCTCTGATGGTGTTTCCTGCTTGGCAGGGGGTTGGACTCGATGGCCCTTGTGGTCTCTTCCAACTCTATGATTCTATGATTCTATGACTATCAACAATCCCGCGCAAATGTTGATCATCCCAAGCAGATGGTGCAAGTGACTTTAATACTAAGGGATACACCATTGAATGGTGACAGACACCGCAAAGTGATTGTCAGCACTCTCAGACTTATATCTGAAACATCAGTAAATACATTTCATGAATGTCTGAAACCATTTCTGCATGATGGCAATCCCAGATGAATGGTACTGAGGTGTGCTTAATTTTTTGGAGGGCATTCAAAAAGCAAACTTGACAAATTCAAATCACAGAGTTTCATTCTGAATGACTTGATGCTTCCTCCCTGTCTTTTTCCCTGTTACCACATTACTGGCTGGTGGCAAGAGAAGCAAGTCAGGTTTTGTGGTGTAGCCTCCATTAGCAATGCATAACAAAGTCCATGCATAGTGACCATGTACAGCAGTGTCCAGACCAGCCAAGAATTAAGGGAAATGCAATTTCACAATGTGCCTAACATGGATGTTGCAGCAATGCTGCCATTATACACTGTTACTGCTATATCCCCTCCCCACCCCAAATAAGTAGGCTCATTAGAATGAACTGACTAGGGTTAATCATGCCCATCAATTTCAGTGGGTCTACTTTGTAGGACTTCAGATGCAATCTTTTATTTTTATTTGTCTTGAAATCATTTGCTTGAACCAATTCTAAATCATACCAGGGAGAGTTTACACACCACATACAAATGCTGACATTCTCCAAAATTGGACAGTTATATGAGTTCAACTTCTTCTTTTTTACTTAAACAAAGTTTTGGGATTGCTACAAAAAAACAGCTTAAGATAGTGCCTTTCTTTTCATGGTTTCCATTGTATCTCATTAATCACTGTGAAAGAGGTGCTCACCCTAGCGACAAGAATACAACTTGAAGGCACTTGCTAAATTAGAGTGATTTACAGCAACTCCAAGTTCAGTTCTTTTCATTTTAACCTCCTCCTAGCTGTTAGCAGGTGCATGTTCCAGTTCTGTTCATAATCTTGCTACAAGGAATTTAGCCCTACCACACCTTTCCTCTACCAAGTTAATGCAGACCTTTAAGAGAAAGGATCAATTTTCCCCGTGTGTTTCTGTGTAATATATGGCTTTCTCAATACTGCTCTAATGACACAATTAGGACAATTCTCACAATATGTGTTACAGCCCAATTCCCTGCAATAAATTTAATATTCGTATTCACATGGTGAGTATCACCATTATATATGCAAAGGAGAGTTCCCCTGGTGGCATCGAGGTTGCCCTTATCCCCAGAAAGAAGCAGTGCTTAACCAGTCAGGCACACAGAATGCTTTAAGTAGAAATCCAGTTGGTATTTGTGCTAGGATAAAATTCTTCTCCAGATTATATACTTTCAGCAGGGGAATTTTGTCTGCTGTGTACATGTCACCAAGCAAAAAGCAAAACACAATGCCTGCTCCCTCTCACCCACACCCACACACCTTTGATCAGAGAATCATAGAATTTTCCCTTTAAACCTTACAACTACCCTGTAGGTTAGGCTGAGAGAGTGACTGGCCCAAGGTCACTCAGTGAGCTTCATGGCTGTATGGAGATTTGAACCTTTATCCTTCCAGTTCTTGCTGGGCATTTTTGTGGCATCCCCTCTCCCTTCTGAATAAGTTTCCAGCTCAATCAACCAACAAACGGGCAGGTTGATTCAGGGTCCATACCCAATGCCTATGCCAAAGTCTACTGTCATCTGTAATCAATAAAGTTGTGGCCATTTCAATCCCAAGGTACTGTTCTGTCTTCCTTTCCACCTATCACAATCCTGCTCCTGGCGACCTCACGTTTCTGGGCCTGCAAGTGCTGTCGCACTCAGGTCCTACTGAAAGCCTTGCCATGGACATCCACTCTAATAACAACAATACAGTGGTACCTTGGGTTACATATGCTTCAGGTTACATACGCTTCAGGTTACAGACTCTGCTAACCCAGAAATAGTGCTTCGGGTTAAGAACTTTGCTTCAGGATGAGAACAGAAATCGTGCTCCGGCGGCGCAGCGGCAGCAGGAGGCCCCATTAGCTAAAGTGGTGCTTCAGGTTAAGAACAGTTTCAGGTTAAGAACGGACCTCCGGAACGAATTAAGTACTTAACCCGAGGTACCACTGTACTTAATTGTAGCCTGCCCATCTGATTGAGGGCACAATAAAACATCAAACATTAAAAGCTTCACTATACTCTGAGAACAGGATGCTAAGCTAGATGGGCAATTGGCCTGACCTAGCTGGGCTATTTTTACATTCTTATGCTGCATCAGATCATTAGTTCCATCTTAACTCTGTATTGTTAACACTGACTGCCAGCAGGTCTTTGGGGTTTCAGACAGGGGTCTCTCCCAGTCCTGTGCTTGGAGATGCTAGGGAATGAACCTGGGACCTTCTGCAATGCTAATCAGTTGTTCTACCACTGACCTACAGCCCATAATGCATATAAAATGGTAGTGCTTACAGTATACAATGCAGCAGTGCCTCTAATGCAAAATTTCTAGGGTGCAACATGAATGCTTTCCCAAGTTTCCACATTTTGCTGGCTGCTGCAACTGACACAAGCAACTTTTTGCTGGCAGAATAGCTGTTCACATCAGCTGCGGCAGCAACGGTGTCCACTGAAGGTGGCTTCCTAGTTGCATTCATGTTGCTCCATTGAGTGAGCACACTGTGAGCCACACTATCTTAGATACCTGTGTCTGATTGGGTATATAAATCCACCCAGTCTAAGATGAAACCCATAGTGTGGTCGTCTCTAGGAGCAAGGTGGATGCTCTCTAAAGATGGCACCATGCAAAATTGTTTTTATTACCGGTATGTTCAAAAGGGAGGCATTTTATTTATTAGATGTTAATAATTATTGCTCAGCCCTCATGTGTATAATTAAACTATTTCAGCTGCCAAAACCACCTTGTAGCTCACAGTGGTCCTTACAATGAAATTGAGCTAGAAATATATCATTAGTATATCATTAGTCTGAACTTTTAAAATGCTCTGCTCTAGATACAAACTTACCCTTAAGCCATTTATGGACTGGGGCAGAGAAAATGAGTTTTGTTATGAGTAACAACAACAACAACAAAAAAGGCCAGGAGGAGACATGGTGCACAATTAAAATTTTCTTGGCAAGAGTCAACATTAGAGAAGGCTAATTGGAAATATGAATTTAAAAGGGGAAAGGGATGCCAAAATAGGGCCAAAATGGTGAATACACCTATGATAAAATAAGGCCGATACTGCTGATGACAGATTGTTCATCTATTAGTGACTGAAGAGCAGTTTGGTCGAAGAGAAGAAGCACAGTAATCCAGGAATATATGACCCAAGCTCAAGGATGAAATGAAGGAGCTTTGTTTTAGCTGGGTACATAAATGTGATGAAATTGCTACCTAATTCATATTTGAACAGACTGTTTATATCCTGATGTAATAAAGAAGATTGCAAAGGGCATACAGAAAATGTATTGATCAGTAACTACAGACAAGCAAAACCTCAGTGCTGGCTATAAAACATAGAGACAGTCATAGAAAGCTTGCCAGAGACCAATGTATCTCCCAAACACTAGAGAAACAGCATACTGAGAGGTAGTTAATAAGCCTCTGAATCCTCAGTGCTGAGAGGCCCATGGAAGTGGTAACATATGAGCATGGCAACAACAGTGAGCAGTGACAATTCCCAGCAGCGATTCGTGCAAGCAGGCCAGGTGAAAAATGTGCTCCTAAGCTCACACGAATCACTGCCAGAAAGCCATGAGCATCAATGTGGTTACTTCCTCCATGCAGCTGCATGACATATTTTAAAGAATGAATTGTCTATTTTTAGAGCTCTGTTTTACAGTCTCCAACTGCAGTTTTCTAGAGAGGCACATATATGCTTTTGCCTTCCAGGGTGCTTCTATTTCCAGGAAACCGTTTCTGACATTTTCAAAAGTACAAAAAAGTTATTTTCTCTGTGCTCTCCATTACCACAAGAGTTAGAAATTTATAGTTGAGTGTCAGTAGGGTACACAGAGTTATCTGGCAGACCCTGTATATACTTGAAGACTGAAAAAGCTTTTAACAAAGTCCCTCACCAAAGCTACTTGAGTCAGCAGTCATGGGATAAGATGCTGGTTTGGTAAATGGCTAAAGAATAGAAAGCAAGGTAAGGTTAAACAGTTTTCACAACGGAAGGAAGTATGCAGTTGGAAAGCTGATAATGTGCTGTTGGAAAAAATGGGGGAAAACAAGGCACATTTAGAAAGCACTTAAATATCAGGCAATATCAGGGACAATACGTACACAAATTATACTGTATAAGGATAGAATGGGCTTAAACTGCATTAAAGTACAGTGGTACCTCAGGTTACATACGCTTCAGGTTACATACAGTTCAGGTTACAGACTCCGCTAACCCAGAAATAGTGCTTGTTAAGAACAGACCTCCGGAACGAATTAAGTACTTAACCCGAGGTACCACTGTACCTTCTTTTTGGCCAGAACCTTTTCACTTTATCCATGGGTAAACGTCTGGTGGCTCAAGTCACCTGTGGAAGCTGGCCATCTACCCCTGGCTCCTCTCCAGCTACGTGAGTCAAGGGGAAGAGCAGGGCCTGGGTGGTGAGGGAGTTGGGAGACCGAATGCAGGGAACCCCACTTCACAAACGGGGGGAGGATTTGGTTTCATGAGTGTGTGTGTGCCCTCCAACCCTCTCCCCCCAACCTGTCCCATATTTTGCTCAACCAAAGGTGGCAACTCCACCTCAGGCTGTGAAACAGGATGGGCTGCCCTGCCCTTGCTCTACCTAGCTTAGCCTGTTGGACCTAGTAGCTGTTAGTCTGGGAGTCTCCCTGAGCTTGTCCTGCAACTATTATAAACTGAGAGGAGAAAGGTTTAAGAAGGAAGGATGAGCAACCTACAGGCCCTGAAGAAAGAGCTGAAATATTGATATTGAGAACAGTGAATTATCACTTGTAATAACTTATCGGAACCAGGACTGAAGGGCTGAGCAAAAAGCACTCAAGGGCAGAGAAGACCTGTAGCTATTGGATTTTTGTGTCTTCACCCCTGATACAGCAAACACCCAAACAATAATACCATATGCCATACATAAGGAAAATAAGCAGAAAAGCATCTATGCAAGCTTTACAATGAAAGGTGGAAAACACACTTGGGGCTGCAGCAGGAAGATGTGTGCTCTCTCTGCCCACTCTATCCCCTCAACTCTCAACTCACAGAGGGCAACGGTGTGAAAAGAGGAGCCTCTAGGATCCAGGGGAAAGCCCCAAGCATTTTGCAACACTGAAAAATGAGGGTTTCAAATCATGTGAAAAGCCTCCATGCATACTGGAGGCTTCCCTCTTCACTGCCCCCCTCCGCAAGTTGAAGGAGATGGGAACAATGGCACAGGAAGCGAAGCTAGTGCCCTCATCCCTGCCCCCATCTGATTATTTTCTACACTTCACTGTACAGCCTGCATAGGGCTCAAAAAAGGAGAAAAGGGAAAACTTACAACATTTCAAGGTCTGCTGTGGAGACAGACGGGGGGCGGGGGGAATCCTCTCACAGTATAAGAACTTGGGGTCATTCAATTAAATTGATTGGCAGCAGACTCAGGACAGAGAAGAGAAAAGCACTTCCACACAGAATCTATAATTAACTTGTGGAATTAATTCCCATAAGATATAGTGATGGTCATTTGGCCTAGATGAATGTACAAGGAGGTTAAAGAAATTGCGGAAGATAGGTTTGTCAATTGCTGTTATCCACCCCCCATTGCATGATGGATCCTGCATTTATGTTGCTGTGCCACTTTCTACCTCATAGCTGGCATCCTATATCACACCAAATGATCAAAAAGTAACCTGGAAATAGCAATATGCTCATTCTAAACCTGATTTAGCAGCAGAAGCATGATATGCCTTCCCCACATGTTTAATGCACTCGCCTTCTTACAGATAGTGTGCCAAGCATATGCCTGATCAGACAAGGCAGTAAATATATGGGGGGCGGCATATTGAAAACAGTTAAAAACATCTAAACACATTTTAAAACTTCACCTATTCTTCCAGCAAAAAACATTTCAAGGTTGTCAATAGAATCTGTATATATAGTATATTTACAGTATCTGTAATTCCTCTGAAAGTCAATGAGGGAGACAGATGCTCCTTGTCAGGGAGGGCATTCCACAAATGGGGAACCACCACTGACAAGGCCCATAATTACTGAGCAGGCAGCACCTGCTGATGGTACAGCTTGAAAAGGTTGATATGTAAGTGCAGGAGGTAGGAAAAGTTGGTGGAACAGCTACACTTTTGAAATTTCAGTGTTTTTAAAACATACAAAATTAATTGAGTACTCTAATGCTAGCTTTTCAAAGGGGAGATACATAGACAGCATGGTGGTGTTGTTTTGAAACCCCCCCCCAAAAAAAGAATGCTCCTTAAACAACAACCATTCAGAAGTGATGGCAGGGTACAGGCTTGTTCTTTTTCAATATTGTCAGGGGACTACCATCGGAACAGGGAAGGGAGGCAGCAGGGCCGTTGGGATACAGAGAGCCTCCGAAACTCCTGAGGAGCAGTTCCTTTTCCAGTGGTGGGAAAAGCCACACCTCCCGTGGAGAAGAGAGGGAAGGGGCCAACCAAGCGAGGAAAGGGCTCAAGGATGCTGCTGAGAGCCCCAGTGCCTCACCTCGCCAGGCCGGCCAGGAGGGACACACGCCACTTCGGAGGAGGCTTGGGGTGTTGAAGTTCTTATATTGGGGGAGAAGCCGGAAGGGGCCACTCCCAGATTCTGCAAGTGACCAAGACGGACATGAACTTTGTAGATCTGCACTGTAAATAGTTTGCACAATAAAACTTGTAAAAGACAGGTCAGAGTCCTGCCTGGTTACTCACGAGCAACCACCAGCAGCATCTGACAAATACTTCGATTTCTCTTTATTCCATAACAGTCATTCCTGCCTTTTGTTTGTACTCCTGATTGCCACTGCAGTTCTGGTGTATTATAGCACAATCCACATGATCATACAAGAACACCAACAGATTTACACTTTTCCAAAGGAAAAGCAATTCAAACTCAAAAGGCTTCTTCTTAAGCAATAAAAAAACTAATTAAAACATGAGAAATAGGAGGACAATAAAGGTAAACATGGTATATAGTATGTTGGAATTTGCTATAGTGATTAGTAGGCAGTTAAACAAATACAAAGTAATTATAACAGCAAATCTGTTCTTCACTGTGTATATCCTTACATACTATAAATAAAAATCACCATAGAATGTAACTGAAATCAAATGGGGGGAGGCAGGTGAATGGTCGAATGAGTACAAATACGCAAATGCTATAGTGTAGCCTTTATGAATATAGAACTATTGTAAACTACTGCAGTCATTTCGTTGAAAATGATTGAGAAAAAAGTGACCGGGGAAATGAGAAAACACATGGTTG